ATGTTATCAATTTACTGTTTTGTCAGAACTAGATTTTAGGACTCAAAATAGTGAAGTTTCTTTTCAGTTTTTGGGGAAGAGGAGAAAATTTTTATTTCCTCTTTCTGAGACACTTTCTGTTAGCAGTTAGTGATAGAAGGACCAGCATTTGAAGTGTAAATACCAAAAATGGACTTAAGAAGTTTAAAACTTACAATGTAGAAAAAGGAAAGGTCATAAGGGAAATTTTTACAAATGAAGTAGGCTCTCATAATGTATATCTAGCTTCTTCCACTTCTATTCCACCCTTAAACCACTGCCACACTAAATCTCCTAAAAGTGCAGTTCTGATTATTGATACCCCCATTGTGCATCTGCCTTTCATGGGTCCCCAATGGCTATATCATGGCCATTTGCTGTCTCTAATCTACCTTTATTACGTCTTGTTACCAAGTTTTAAATTTCCCTTCTCGATACACTCTACACCGGTGATTCTCAGCGCAGGCTTCCTTTAAGGATCATCTGGGGGAAGGACCTCTTAGAACATCTGGATGTTCAAATGCCACCCCTAGAGATCCTGATTTAATTAGTCTGCTGTATATTAGAATTGTTTTGTAAAAGTCCCCTGGTGATTCAGATGTGAAGGCAAGGTAGAGAATCTTTGTTCTGCCTCATTCTATGTCTAGCTGGAATAACTTAATTTCCCCTTCATCTGTTGAAATCCTGCCCGCCCTTTAAGGTTCAGTAAAAGTGTCATCCCCTGTCATGAAGTCTTTTCCCAAAGAAAAACACGCTCTGCCTGACACTTGGGCCACAGGTAGTATAGTTGGTAAGTTCCTTATAGATCAAGTTGACATCATACTATCATTGACCCTTCTAAAGCCTCTCCCATTTATTCTCCTTATAGTCCCATTTCCATATCCCCCATACGCACCCATTCTAAGTCATTTAATATGCACTATTTTATTTTTAATACAGTTTTTATTTTGTACAAATATATTTAGTAAATATTTTTATTTAGCATGGTGAACAATTATGTATCACAAGTTTATACTTAATTGTCACTAAGTCAGCACCATCCATACAGCCACCAGCCTAATCATAAAGTAGAATATTACAGCAGTGTTCAATCCCTCTCGGATCCCTGCCCATCACGTTTCCCTTCTTGCTTCACAAATGAATCCTATTTCTTCACTTCACAGATTACTTTTGTCTGTTTTTGAACTTTATATAAATGAAACAGTTCAAGATGTATTCTGTAGTGTCTGACTTCTTGTACTGAAAATTATTTTTTTGAGATTTATCCATATTGTTGCCCATGATAGAAATTTATTCATGTTCATTGCTGTATAGTATTCCACTTTATTAATACACCACGATATGTTTCCATTCTACTATTAATGGGCATTTGAGTTTCCATATTGGCTACTACAAATAACGCTGTTATGACCGTTTCGTACATGTCCTTTTCTATGCATATATTTTTGTGAGGTGTAGGGGAAATATGAATAGAATTACCAGATCATGATTTGGTTATGTTCAACTTTAATAGTTATGCCAAAGAGTGTTATTAAATTGTAATAACTATTTATTTTCCTACCAGCAGTGTGTAGGAGTTTCAGCGGTACCATATTAACCCCTAAAACAAATTATATACTTGTCTTTTTTATTTTAGCCATTGTAGTGGACATTTAGTGAGTTTTTTCCTTGTCCCACACGCTGTGAGTCAGAATGGGATTCCCAAACTTTTTGGCACCAGGGACCGGTTTCTTGGAAGACAATTTTTCCATGGACTGGCAGTGGGATTGGGGTGTAGTGGGTGAGGGGGAAGTGGTGGGGAGGACGTGGCATAGACTTCAGGCTGTGTTCAGGCTGTGATCAAGCAGAATTCAGGCGGAGATCACGGAACTAGGCGGAGTTTCAGGCGGAGTTTTCCCTGAGGGTTGGAGACCCAGGCAAACAAACCATGCAAAGGTCATGCTGTTAGTTTCACAGTATTAATGGTTTCAGCTTCTTTGCTCTGGTGTGTTGCAGACTGTTCTTCTAAGCAAGAAGATGACAGCCGAGGAGGTTGCAGTGGGAATGTTAAAGGCAGACCTTACCCTCAGAGACGACATGGAGGAAGGAGAATCTGGTAATGTAACTGATGAAATGTGAAAAATCAAAAGGCAGGAACTTTTCTTCCACAGAAGCAGGAAGGCGACTGGATTCAGGCGCACATTAGCAAGTCACAGTCAATCTCCATTTAGAAGGGATTTGTTTAGGGGGGAAGAAAAATGGGTGGGAGAACCCATGTACAATTGTGAATTGGTTATTGTATTACTGTGCCTGTTACTTAAATATTTCTGGGGCAGGAGAAATGAACAGATCAGATCACGGAGGATGAGGAAAGAAAATGTTCTTTGTGTTTCTGTTTAGTCCTCTATTTTCCCAGGTTTCTGGCAACTTGCACTCTGGCAAGTCACATTGTGATGTTAAATAGCATGTCCTTTATATGCCAGAGTGGTGACAAAATTCCAACAACCTTGTAATACATATACTAACAGAAGTTGCCCTGCAGAACTGAGACTTTTGGTTTTATAGATCCTTTGTATTAAGAAGAGATACGGGGACTTGAGGGTGAGGGAGAGAGGCTGAACCCACCCACTAGCAAATCCTTTAGCATTTCAGTTCGTGGCAAATTTTGTAAGAAAGAGGAACACAATAAGGAGTCCAGCAGAAAGGATCCCCTTTGCTGAACCTCTTTGTTCTGCTTTTTGAAAAACATTTATTTTATTCTTTTTCTTTCCTTCACCTTTCCTCCTCAATTTTATTTATTTATTTTTGTTTGGGAGGGCAGGACCTTGGATTTCCTGGAAAACAAGGTTCATATTGAACAAAAAAAGAAAGGTTATAAAGAATGTTAATGTTTTTCAGCTAAGCCCAGTTCTTACAAAACTGAGAGTAATATGTAACCAGTCAGAATGTTGCATAATGCAGTTGTGAAACTTATTCTTTTAAAAACGCATCCTGTTTTTGTAAGTTAAGTAAGTTTTTTGGATCCTGAAACTATTAATAAGTTAAAATTTCACCAGTAACATGCTTTACTTCTTTGTTCTTCTGAAGGATAATTCGTAATAATGTTTTTGCAACTAGAAATTTGAAGAGCATTGTGTTCAGTGTATACTATAAGAGGCATGTGAATTTAGAGGGAGACAAGAATAGGGAACACAGTTATGAAAGCTAGAAGAGAAATAAGCAAGAGAGAAACGGAGCAAGAACATTAGTAGGAGGAAGTAGAGACAGGGAAAAACCAAGAGAAAGCAAGGTCTTTTTGAAGATTTGTAAGAGAGGCAAATGGGAGATTTTGGGGGAGATTTAAGTGGACATTTACATATTACTGTATAACACTGAAAACACTGTAGAAATCGTAATATACTGAGTTTTTAAGACATTTTTGCTTTAATGTAGAACCAGGAAGAAAGAAGGTTGAGATTTTTATATGGAACCAAAATCCAAATGATATATACTGCTTAAAACGATCCAATCCAATATATTCATATCTTTTCCCCTGTGTAAATTTAAGCTGGGGCTCCCTGTTGTTCTTGGGGTTGTATGTTAAGTGAGTGAGATGTAGTGGTTGAAAGAAAATCAGCAGGAACATTTTTAAAAGTATAGTTTACATCCAGTAAAATTCACTCTTTGGTGTGCATTTCTATGGGTTTTGACAAACACATACAATTATGTAGCCACCATGAAAATCAAGATATAGAACCATATCAAATTCCCTCATGCTCCTTTTTTTTTTTGAGACAGAGTCTCACTGTGTTGCC